TGCGGTCAAATCTGGATGATTCGCTGGCGAGGCTGGGTGGAGGGTGGCAGTGCGGGCACTCGATCCTGGATCCTTCCTGGACAGGGTATGACAGGGTTGTATTGATGCAGAGGTTGAATGTTTATGTCAACATCGTAAATTTGCTGCTTTTCGTCGAAGTTGTCAAGTTCGCTGGGATGTCCCCATGTGCAGTGTGGTAATTCTCACATTGGTGATGTCCTGCCAGGAGTACGTCAGCGCAGCTCCATTGGGTTGCACTCGTCTCAGCTGTCCTCAACACGGAATCTCATGACACCTGTTCCAGAACGCAGGCGGGGGACGGCCATGTTACCGTGTGGGTACGACCCCCGCAGGCGGACAAACGCTGAAAATGTCAACACACTGATCATCATTGCCTGCAGCAACAGCAGAACTTGCCAGGCGAAGGGGAAAGAGAAGCCGCAGGACAAGCATCCCGCTTACCGGTAGGAGCCCATTAAGCACAACCCATTGCAGATTGATCAGGATGTGGAGGTCCAGGCAGTGGCTGCCAAGATGTTTCATCGCTTCAAGCCTTAGACTCAAGCGTGAAGTCCGCTGCAGGCCTCCGAGACATCCTCCTAAATCTAAAGTTCGGAGGATGTTGATTGAAAGCCCGGGTCTCAAGAAGCGCCGTTCAGTGGCCTGTGCAGACTTTCATTTGAGACACGAGGCTGGTAAGTACGACTGTTCACCGATGACCAAAGCAATGTTTACCATTTGACTGGCTCCATTCTTCAACATGTCTACCAAGCTCCTGTCATGAGACTCTGCGATTCCAGGCTCTCTTGACTGCAACGTGCTGAAAGCAGTTGCGTTGTGCCATGCTTAAGTTGCGAGTCGATCAGGCAGATTAGCACTTGCTGTAGCTGCAAGCCCACCCAGGTTTTCCAACCAAGCAAAGTGACCGGGCCAGGTTTCAGTTTTAGGCCTATAAGCTCAAAGCGCAAGGTGCGCAAGGTACAGGGGTTCTGGATTTCAGCATCCTCGAACAATCTGATGCCTGCTGCTGCTGACCCGACTAGATCTGGTTCTCCTTCAGATCAACTAAGCATACAAGCTAAGGCTGCCACGTAAGGGCTGATATTTCGGATGCTGCGAGTACAGATGTGCTGTTTCACTTGACCGGCTGCTTGAAATTTGCATGCCTTCTCAAATCTCAACAGACCGGCGGCAAGTGCTGCTTGTGTATTCTTGGCAGGCGATGCAACTGCAAAACTGGACAATGACAAGACTTCGTGTTTGTGGATTGCCGGTTCCCAGCACCGTGTTGTGTGTGCCCACTTAAGCTGCCAGTGTCTTTAATTCTCCGTGCTAGGTGTTCTCATAGTCATAGTTCGTGCGAACGCAAGGTGTCCACTTCAGGTAAAAGACAGTTTGCCCGAAAGATTCCTGTACACACCGGAGATATCGTTGGGATAGGGCAAGTTGTTTGGCTTGGGTAGCCTCGAAACTCGACGAAATCGATTTTGAGTGGAGGTGCCGTTGTCGCTTGGGGAGTCCATCGCCCCATTGCCATGCTGTAGGAATCCATGGAACTCACAATGGGGATGGCGGAAGCCCAGGGAAGGCATTACGACGTATCATTACGAAGTGGCAAGTGTTCCCCAGCCAAGTGCAAAACACAGCACAATGTCCGAGGCCCAATGCCAATCTGCAACAATTTGAATAGGCATGTGGCAGAACATGTCGCTCTTAGACTTGCAATACAAGGTAGCAAACCCAGACAATGCCGATTTAACTGCTACTTGTAGCATGTGAGCCACCTCGGGGACGGCCACGGGTCAAAAATGCCTGTCCACAGCCATGAGCTTCAACTGCAGCCAGCCGCTTCCTTGCCGTATAGTAGATACACAGAACATCCCAAGTAATCCTCCTTATAATGAAGCCCAATAAGGCAGAAAAAACCCTGTCAAAATGCTGGGCGGCTGGCGGTGGGGTGGAGGGGGCGAGCGACAATCGTTTCTAGGACCCAAGCCCAAACTCCTGGGAGGACCCCCCAACGCACGCGAAAAGGCCCAGAACAAAAACAGATCAGATAAGAAAAGTCCAATCACACATGCGATGGCAGTGAAAAGGGGTGGATATTCACAATGGCAGAAGTCAGTCCAGGACAGCTTGAAACATAGCCCCGCACTCGGCAACGAGCCAAAGCCACCAGACTGCACACCCTAGGCCCCCAAACCCGAGGGGTCGGCGAGTACCCCGGGCAGACTTCCCAGAAACTCTCGATAGGTCTGAGAGAACTTCGGTCGGCTGTTGCGAACAAAATCCCGCCGTAGATGCCCACTTTTCATTCCCAAGCAAGGATCCATGTAAGTCGGTAGGGGCCAATCAGTTGCAAGTGTAGCTGTATGTAAAATAAAGCGAAAAACTGGAGCAACGACTCTGTCCACTCTGCCAAATGACACTGTGACGCTTTTGTTTGCTTGGATGGGTAGCTTTCCTTGGAGGAATGCTCCTGTGTATGCAAGCACTTTGACTCAGAGTACTCTACAGATTGAATTCGAGAGGGGGGAAATCATCTGAGAGATGCCAGACTGAGCAAAGCAACCATTCAAGGGCTCACCAACACATCAACCAACAACGCCCGCGACATACACCAGATTGGCCTCAGTTTGTAGCATCAAAATTTCATGAATTCCGTAGTTCAGAGTTGCATGCAGCAGTGCGCAAAAAACGGCAAGGGAAATACGGGCTACAAACTACAACAACTCCAAACAGTCAAGTAAAGCTTGACTCCATGCGTTACGCTGGAGAGTCGCAGCCTGAATTGAAGCATACATAATGGCAGCACTGACACTACTTATTAGGAGCAGTGCCAAACTCCAGACTTGATACCCTAGACAGGGTGTCAGTCTCGAGAACTGGAGACAATTAGACCAAGCAAGTCCTCGCTTTGGACAGAAGGACGCCTCAGACACCACCGTATCTTCTCGTGCTTAGGGTACCTCCTGGCTCAAGTGGACAGCAGAAGACTGCGTACTCCTGTGTGCCTTTTAGTGCGAACCTGCAGAAAACCATGCTGACGTCCATGGTTTAATATGTTCGGAGGACAGAGCATCCATGGCCCAAGCATATCCCAGCATGATGACGACCATATGGACCCATGGACCCTAGGTGGGTATACAAAACGGCTGCCGTCTTCCTTGGCGCCGGCACACACGACCCATACTAGTGAGTAGCGATGCCATGTAATGTCTCTTTCTGCTTCCGGCACCTCTCAAATCGCAGTCAGTACGAATCGTCTTGACCTTCTCGCTTCCCCAGCCAGTGCCCTCTGTAACGAGCCTGAACAGGTAAGCCACCACCGACACTAGCGCCTAGCTCCATCAAACGACTGTCAAGCTGGCCATGACACCTGGTCTGCAACATAGCGGAGTCCTTCTCTGCACGCATAAACAAGTTTTTGTCTGTGATTCTCAGCCTCTCCCCGAAACTCCTGTAAATCAGCCGAGGCCGGAGGCCGGGGCGTCTTGGTCAAGTTCGTTGAACATGTACTGATGTATAACCCAGCCCCCTTTAGGAGAGGCCTGGGATCGGGCTTTTGTTTTCGTTTTTTGATCAATTTTGAGAGGTCCGGCTGAAAACTGCCAGCGATGGCGAGTCTATGGGTGAATTGGGTGCATGTTGTCGTAGTCTACAATTCTACCGCTACGCAGCCCGCCTCGGCTCGACTTTGTCGGATAATCACCGCTGAACCATCTAACCAACCGCCTGTGTTGCCGCAAGAGGAGGGAGAGGAAGGGTGGACGGCAGGCAGGGAGCGGGGGGGGGAGAGGCGGGGAAGGGGGGCGGGGAGCGTGGGGAGGGGGAAGGGCCAGAATGGCGGGAAGAGCGAGGTAAACTGTTTGGAATTAGGGGAAAGGACAGGTCAAGGACCGGCCAACCGGGGCGGGGGGTCCCACAAAGCGCATGTCAGTAAATTTTTGGGATTCAGGGAGGAGGATGAGGTGGTGGGTACTACAGCTGCCGGCCCATCGCCCCGCAGAAGTGTGCCAGGTGCGCGACAAATTTCGTCATGGTTGGGCCATGGATATCCATGGATGCTCTGTTCTCGGAGCGGATTCCATGGACCTCTGTTTCGCCACGAAAAGAACGGATCAACACAGCGAAAGTCAGGCAACACTGCAGAAGTCGGAAATGAAGGCATAAAACCCGGACACGAACGCTCAAAACAAAAAGCCAGCAAAGCAACACGGCTAGCAACATCGACATAAACACACAAAAAAACACCCGCAGCAAAAGCAAAAGGCATCAACAACTCGCGAACGGGGGCAAAACGGGGGGCCTGCGCGTTGTTGCAGCTAGTCTTGGCGATTTTTGGTACGAGCTTATAAGGTCCCGTCACGGAATTCGCCACTGTCGGCCCCCGAAGGCTGTGCATTGACTGTTTCCGAACTTGGAGAATCTATATAGTGGCCTTATTGAAGGAGAACACGCTAAGTAGGGCTTGCGCGAGTTTAGTAGTCCTGCAGCGCCCGTGCTAGCTGCTAGCAAATGACTTGGACTGCATCTTGGAAACAGGAAAATCGCGTGACCCCCAGCCACAACCTGGTTACTCAGAAGCTTTAGGCGATTGTTGCGGCGCGCTTCGGGCGCATGCTCAAGTATTGTGATTCTGAGAACCTTGCAAAGGCCGTCATGGGCAGCAGCTCCCGGCCCAACAGAGTCTGTTCTGATGCCTATGTACAGCTGCAAGCTGCGACAATCCGCGCTACGACTCCGAAACACAAGATTATGGAGCATTTGCAGCCACGGCCAGCGACCTTCAACGTCCCTACAAAGGCAAGAAGTCCACGCATGTTTCTGCAGGTTACCAGCATTCTGACGGCAGTGTTGGGCAGAAAGCTTTCTAACACAGAGAGAGAGGGTGAAGGTCGTTTGTGCAGACGCCACATCCTGCTGACTGTAGCCACATGCACCCAGCTGTGTACAACGAGACAAGTGGATCCGAGCGCGTGTGTTTTTCGGAGCCGAACATGTCGATCGCAGAGAAGCACGACCACGATGAGCAGAACGGGGGTGAAGGCGGAATCGGCATAGCATACCCTCACTGCAGGCATGTGGATGCTCGGCACGGGGTTGATGGTTTGACAGGGCATGCGGACTGGCAGCCACTGCGTGCTATTTATGTAGCTGCGTAGAATTGCAAGCCATTGGCAGGCCCGAGTGCTCCGCAGGAGCTTTTCATTACGGCTTTGCAGCAGGTGGGACAAGTCAAATGTGTCGTCGAAGCTTGAGAGAATCTGGCCGTCCAGGTCAAATCCTCCCAATCCGAGCTGATTGACCAGCTCGTAGTCTTGGAAAGAAGTCACTTTCAGGAAAGTTGGGTGTGGAGCCTTAATCATTGCTGCAAGATTTGGCACTCGCAGGATCTGGAAGTACATCTGATGCTGCGAAAGCAACTTGAGACAGAAGTGGAAGCTTGGTTTCCTTCAGCTTGGTGCAGGCATCGCCCCGAAACTATCGAGCAGGAATCTGCAGTGAAATTGCCACTTCTAAGGAAAGGCTAACCCGGGAGATTGATGCACTCTCTCAGGCCACGTTCTCTGCGTTTGTCTTCATGCAAGCTGGGTCTGGCGAGGTTTGCCAGCATACAGCGCGTTCCGTTCCATTTGAATAGATGTGACTCTGGATAGTCTGACAGGCCAAAACCACCGCAGCAAGAAAAAAAAAGATTAAATCATCCCGAAAGCCGAAGCAAGTGATGTACGAGTACGAGAATCCGGTTGCAATTGACGCGCAGCTGAAGAGTATGGCTTTTGTCTTTGTGGCTGAAGGCCGAGGCTGGCTTGCGAGGGGTGCGGACACTAAGGAGCCGGCAGAGGAGCCAGCAGCGAAACCAGACGAGGCCTTCGAGCATTCAATGACCACCAACACCAAGAGCCGCATTTCAGATGCACGGAGTCGAACACAGTTCCTGTTCGTGGTCGGGGCAGAGGAGAGAGGCACACAGCGAGAAACTTGCATGTTCATCGGGGTGTGCTGGCACACCGCTTCTCTTGGTTATCTTGGTTGGAGGAATGAGGCTGACACGGAGAGAGCGTAGTTTCCTGGGCTGTTGACAGTTGACCTGGCGGGGAGTGGGGTGATGCGAGGTGCTAGCAATCGACCCTTGCGTTGTTTCGGGGGCATTATGCACCCAACATTGTCAGCAGTAGGGGTGATGCCCTTCATAATCTTCAATAACTGGTGGCAATCGCACGTTTCATTCGCCTTCGGGCTCCTAGCCTTTATCAGATCATTCACGCGTCTTACTTACATGGAACTTAGCATCTGTGATTGCCGAGGCTGTTGCCAGTTACATCTTGCATAAACAGAGCCAAAGAATCCAAAGCCCAGAAGACCAACCCAAACAGCGAGCTACTGGCTGTATAACTAACACTCGACACTGCAAGAACACACCCCAGTGCAAAAGCTCTAAGCACAAATGATCCCAGATGCCAAGACTCGACAGTGTAGAGACCATCCGTTAGACGAAGGGACAGACCGAGTGACAGACCTTTGTTTGCGGTTCTGGACCTGGATCAGAAGTTCTCGTGCTCGCATTAACAGGTGCAAAGCCCAGATCAAAGCAGTGTGATTCGAGTTCATGAGTCGGATGCCGAAGCTTAAAGGAAGAGATGCGCACATGTTACAGCTGTCGGAATCTCTCGGAGTTTAGGTAGGCTTTAGCAGGGCAGCCGGGCATTTCCTTCCGAATTTGTTCATGTCCTTGCTCAAAACTGAGGTTTTACGCAGTTGGTGAAAGCGGATGCGCATGTAGACGGGATCAGCGACGACTTCAGCATCAACAAGAGATTGGAGCACGCGCGTGCCAAACTCGAGTCATCGCGCAACAATTCGGCGATGAGAAGAGTCGAGCAGCTTCTCAAAATGGCAATGGGCCGAGATGAGGACTCAGAGGACCTCAGCTTTCAGAGAGCCATGAATCAGGAAAGGTACCGTGCCTTCCGAACAGTTCGACGTGCTTCCCAGAATTGTGTAGTTAGATTTGCACAAGTTCGCAATCTGTATAATCTGGCCAATAGAACGCAAGCATTGGCAAATGCGGAAGCGAGGTTCGCAGGAGGTGGGAGGCTTGGCGAGAGCTAACGGGAGGATTCCGACGATCCGAGTGAGACTGCTCGGCAGTGGATTCAGTAGTTTACGAAGGAAGCAGCGGAGCGTGTCTCCTGCTGAAATTATCTTCCAAAACACTTGCCCAGCGATCGCGGACGACGATTTCGGCTTAAACCCTCGTCCCAAGCTCGCGTACGAGGATTTGGGTCCAAAGCCCCGTCCCATATGCATTCTCGTACGAGGATTAGGTCATACCGTCATACCAGGTCCAAACAAACTCTCGTCGGCTTCAGGATTTAGATCGTGGCTGTGGGTTTCCCAGTGCGGCTCCAGTAAACTTGGTTTTATATATTCGAGGGTGAATGGTGCTATAATCCCGGGATACTTCCCAGGTCGTGTCGTCAACCCTTGTGAAGGACACTGGGACACTCGCCTAAACTAAAGCCTCGGGGCCTAGTGCTTGTCCTTGCTGGGTGGGCTAGTGCTGGCAAGGGTGCGGACCCCCGGTGCGGCACTAAGAGTCGTGGATGACCCCCTTTGCCACACCCGGTGGCACTAGGGCGACAGTGCCGTACAGTGCCCGACGAGGAACATTGAGTCCCTGGGTGGTCGACAACGACGCTGACTTATCCACGACTGCTGCTACTCTGCGTATCTATTCGTCAGAGGCACATGCTTGTCCAGACGGTCACAAGAGAAAAGCTCTTGATTACCGAGCTTGTGCCGCCTTCCATTCATTACGTGGTCCCGGTTGAGGCCGCTGCTGGAGTATTGTGCACTACTGAGTTTAGGACTGGCTGACAGTGCACCCAAACTTGTCTTGCACATTGGGGTACGTTGCAGTATGCTGGGCAAGTTTTCATGCGACTACCATCGACTACCAACCCTCCTGCATGACCTGCTGAGCCGTTCGGTCCAGGATATAGCATTGGATTGTTGTTGTTGTTGCCTCGCTACTGGCTCTCTACCCTGCTGTTTTCTGCCCTCCTGCGCCCTGCCTGCGCCTATGGGCCGTTTTCTGCTTGCGTTGGCTTGGTCGATACGGGCATATCGACATATCCCTTGCTGTAGCTGCTTGGCGGCGTGCTTGCCCTCGGTGCTGGAACAGCGTCGAGAGTGGCAAGTGAGACACATGGCCACTAAGTTTTGTTCGTACATAACTTGTCAGTTTTTTGCAAGTACAGTGGCACCGGTTCCCGTGCACCACCCTACTGCCAAAAGCGCAAAAATGAAGGAGAGACGCCTTTCACTGATGGTCACTACCCGAGAAGCCCGGCCCAGGAGGAAAGGGACTTCAGAACAGCTAGCAAGGCAGCGCAAGCAAGAGACGGAGAGGAAGCCCAAAGCCAGCTCCGAGCATCAACAGCGGGGACACCGGGACTGCAAGCAAAACATCCACCACCTCGTCCCCCCAATGAGGGGCAAATGCCACTGGAGTGGGAACAGGCCCGTGACGGCCGACAAACAGGCCGGGCCGGGGCACAAAGACGACCCCTGACACCCAAACCCACGCCCAAGCCCAGCGCCTGGGCCGCCAGCTTCATGCAGAGAACTCCGGGGGCCCAGGGAGCGCGCAGCATACACAGACAGGAGCTCCTGCAGGGCCTGCTTTGCAGTATCCTGCAGGGGCAAACGCAAGCGAAAATGGGCACGCTTTGGAGGAGCCATGAGCTCGGGGGAGCACAACCCCCCATCACCCGGAGGAGGTACCTCAAGAAGAGCTGGATCTCCTGAAGAAGCCGAACGCCTCCTGGAACAACCCGAAGAATTGGAGGATTGGGAACTGGCCAGAGCGGAGGAAGGATGGCATCCAGCCAGCCGATGCCCCCCTCTACTACCGGAGGGAGTAGTAGTTCACGGGGTCGTGATGACTGAGTGAACCTGAGCAGGTGCTTTTGTGCGTGCACTTCGGGGTGCAACACTGAACTCAAGTCACGATCCTGGCTAGCAGGCGCTGGGCAAAGGCTCCAGTCAGCGAGTACAATGAAGTCCACTGAGGGGCAACAAACCTAGTAAGGGGTGTGACTCAGGAGCCAGGGGGGAACAGGCTTTACTAGACGTTGCACAAGTACTTCCAGCGGTATCATCAGTCTGGATCCTGAGGCCTGTAGAGAAACAGAGCCCAGTGGAAGAGAATGAGGGGCACAACTCGTAGGAAAGAGCCAATTGGGGAACCCTGTTAAAACGCTAAATTTTGTTCGCTAGAAACGCAGTGAGCGTTGTGCCTGCGTGGCGGTTCCCCTGCTCTGGTACGAGTTGTGAACCCCGAAAGAGCCCCCTTGAAACGTTTGTGTGCAAGGTCGGGGACATGTTGATCTCAGGCAGTGTATAGTTTAGCGCTAAGTTGCTTTGCAGTGGACGGGACAAGTTAGCACCAGGACGAGGCAGAAGAGGAGGAGAGCTCCCGTGGCCCCCCTTTTAGTATGATCGTATGCTACTCTGTGTTGCGGGCGGAAACCTAGCCCTTCTGCTTCCGCCATCCCCACTCCAACACGCGAGGGGGTTCCCCAGACCAGCAGAAAGAAAGAGAGACAGAGAGAGGGAGATACGGGCCAAAGGCCTGAGGGTCGGCAACGCTGACCCCTAAGCCCTGCAGAAAGAAAGAAAGAAAGAAAGAGGGAGAGTAACTCACTCAAGGGAACGTGTCGACCTCCCACCCCGAAAGGGGCCTTTCAGACAGACCGGCGCGCGCCTTGGGGGTTGGCCCTCGGGCCGGGAGGGGGGTTTCCCCTCAAACCCCAAGCATCCCCAAGCAAGCAAGCAAGAGGGAGAGTGAGTCGAAGTTCGGGCGGATCTGGCATAATCTTGTTTGTTGAGACAAGTTAACATCCATCACCCGGACACATGAATCGTGTTGGCCCTGTCAGTCAAAAGTCAGCTTCCGGGAGGAAAGTAGGGTCGACAACTGCGGGGAGAGCCACGGCTGCAAGGCAGGGTAACCCAGACAAGATCGGAGAATTTCAAGAAGGCATGCATATGTAGTCATATCATGTCGGCAGAAAAGCAGACAGACGCTTCGGTTGGCGATGGGATTTTTCGTGCAAGAGATGTATAGTTACAGCCGGCCCAATTGAGTTGTCTCCGGATTCAGAGGCGTGGAAAGTTTGCTACAATGGCTACAAGTACAACACCTCTGCCGGCCGCTGAATAAATATGGGCCAAGGCCCCGCAATGATCGAATAAACTTGACTGAACTGTAGTTCACCCGCTGAAATCCCAAGTATGCGACAAGCGAGCGTGTCTGAGTGCAAGTTTACGACACAAAGTCGAGTTTTGAACGGAAGCGGCCCCTCCCAGTGTTGCATGTCTGTTGCATGCCCCGGGCCTCGACGCCCAGCCAAAAAGAAGTCATTTTTCCGAGGGCCGTGCTGTGGAGCTGTGTCAGCGAAAGGTGCGCTTCCATGTGTTCAAGCTCATCGATTTACCTTCTGCTGCCATCGCAGGACGACCGGTCAGGAAACAGCGAACTTCGATGGCTGATGTTTGAAGCCACGGCCTCTTGAACGCAGGCCTTTATCGGACATGAAGAGGCGTGAACTCTTCTTTCGGCTTCCCTCTGCTCGCATGTCTCGCAAGATTCCTCGGATGCATAACTTCACCTTCTTGCTGACCTTTTGCTTGCGGCCTTGGTTTTTGATGGCGTCACGTCCCGTCACCTCCCCAAAACGCAGGATACGGGTGCCGGGACAGCACAGGGTAGGAAGGTAGGACGAGACAGTGTCGAGACGGACTTTGTGCCGCTGTTTTCTGCTTGCCGAGCTCAGGCGGCTGCCTTGATCGCCGCGGTCGCCTGAGTTGGTGCGGACAGCTCATCTTGGGCAAAGAAGACGAGAATTCAGAATGTGAGTATATGGAAACTTCCGAACTGTTTTGCCGGACGCTGCGCGAACGTATGCACGAACGCCACCGAGGGCGCTCAGACGCGGCGCTCAGCACGCAGTACTGTTTCTTTGCAATGGGGGAGGGCTCAGCGCCCCGGCACATGTTCGTTACCCCCTGCCACGGTGTGCACGAGGCGCCACACGTGGTTTGTCTTTTTTCATTCGCTGCGTGATAAACGAAAGCATTACTACTGGGGTAGTAAACAGTAGCGACGAGCGCTGCGTGACCGGGCGCCCAAGTGGCAATGCGGGGTCCGTGTGTCCGGCAGGCGTTGAGTCTCCGGTCGGCGTCGTGCATTCGGGACTGGGGCTGGGTCAAACGGAGTGCGTTTCACACTGACCGTAAGCACGACCCACAGATGGAAGCAGACGAGAACTCCACAGCATCCGGCACAGTGCGCTGTTCTGGGAAGCTCGGGGGAATGATGTGCTATCAATGCTCTGTCTTATCCCGTTTGAGGTCAACTCCGTCCTGCTAGGCTTGGAGGTGCAGTACACCTCATCGAACCTTCAGCCCAACCTCTCCTTCATGTTGGGCAGCGTTCTGTTCGGAGTGTGGTTCATTTTCGAAGTGTTCGTCCGAATGTATCATGTGGGCCCCATCCAGTTCTTCATGAATGATTCACGCTGGTGGAATATTTGTGACCTTTTCCTCATGGGAGTCAGCGTGCTGGATATTTGCCTGCTTCTACTGGGTGGTGCTTCGACATCTCTTTCCAGCCTCAAAATCTTGAAGATGATCAGAGTGGTTCGGCTTTTCCGAGTGTTCCGGTTTTTCCAGCAGCTCGCCACATTAGCCCTGATGGTCGCAGAGTCTGTGAAGCAGCTCCTGTGGGCCCTTTCCATGTTTGTCCTAATCATGTATATTTTCGCAATTACGTTGACGAGCTCGTGCACCGACTGGCTGAAGTCACAGGTCGACTTCAGCAAACCAGACTGGGAGTGGGACGTTGCGAACACAAGCCAACCTGGTGTTAAGGAAGTCCATCACTTCTTTGGGAGTCTGCCGCGCAGTGGGTACACTCTTATTCAGACAACACTGGGAGGAATTAGTTGGCACGAGGTTACAGATTCACTTCTATACGTTGATGCCATCTCCTTTTGCTTGATGTTCGCCTACTTGGTCTTCACTATCCTGGCCCTGCTGAACGTTTTCACAGGCCTTGCAGTTCAGCAGCAATCGATTTCCTTGTGTCCCGTCTTCTTGGATCGACTCGGGCATTGGTGACAGGTGTTTTTGTGGACAATGCTGTCCAGAACTCCAAAAAGCAACGCCAGATCCAGATTGAAATTTGTCTGCAACAGTTCCTGCGTTAGTGCAGTTGGTGGTTTGCTAAGCCCATCTCCGATGGTTCCATGCTTTCTGGTAGCTCTTCGCTCCTCAAAGCAACAGTCGGTGGCAGGGCTTCGGGTGTTCACATTAAGAAGCAACGAAAGGTCCCTCTGCGATAATGCGCAGACTGGTAATCGCGACTATGAGCTAGCTGCACAACTGCAGAACTCAGGAGGAAACCCTGGAGAAGAAGCGCATGGGGCTAGATCAGATCATCGAATTTTTCGTAGCCACAGACCTTGATGGTCAGAGGCCGAGCGGAAAGGCTTTTGATCGTCTGTTCATGCTTCTACTGCAGTTCTACCTTGGAGCAGCGTAGGCATGCCGGCGTAAGTGTTTCGGAGAGTTCGCACAGTGCTCGTCACATGTCACTAAGGCGACGGAACGATCAGCCTGCATGAAATCCATGCGTTGTTGCAAGATCCTGTGATGAACGCATCCTTGGCGGATTATTAAACTGCTCGCATGGCATACTGAGAGCGATGAGACTGAGCTCATGCTGGGACCTCACCAGAAGTGGATAGAAGGCTTATTTTGACATCATCGGCTTCAGACCTGGAGATGCTCAGATGCTCGCCGACCTGCTAGACAGGGACGGATCAGGTCGCGATTGTTCTGCAATGCTCCTCGTGGTTGTCTTGCAATTTTGTGCTCATCACAAGTGCTTATCAGGTGCCATCACCCTGAACGAGTTCATAAATGGTTGTGAGCGGATGAAGGGTCAAGCCAAGGGTATTGACGTGCATCTACTCTTGTTGAAGTGTCACCACATCTACGAGAAGTTGGAAAGGCTGGATGTGCTTGCTCGTGGCACTCCTTTCCAAGCAACCAATTGCGACTGCAGCAAATGAAACGTCTCAGCCGAGGCTTCGCCGTATGTATTGTAGCCGAGCTTGGCACTTGCATGTTTATGGTATGTTTATGGTGCATCGGTGTGCCTTGGCCCCGTTGGACCTGTTGACGGCTCCGGTCCTGGCTTCCGAACGAACCTGTTGGGGCTGCGAGGAGACGGGTCCCGACGATCAGAAGCATTCAGAAGCCAGACCTTCGCAGAGTCACCACATGCTGTCGAGAAGTTCACAGCTTTTGCAGAAAGAGAGGTCGCTCCTTGTGGCACGACCGGAGTTACAAAAGCAGCTTGTGCCTTTCATAGTTGTGCAGGGATGCTACTAGCACGTATTGCCCATGTGTTTCATTTCGCCCAACACTTTACACACTTGGATGTTGAACTCCGACAATCGGCCCTACGCTGGCTTGATGTTTAGTAATATCGGTCTTCTCACAGGTTCTTCCATGAACGGACGATGCGTGTGGCCAGAACTCATGCTGTAGGGTTAAGCACACTAGCACATGCTCGCGGCTTAGGCACAGGGAGGTGGGGACAGCAGTGACAATTGGCAGCGTAGGACGGTTGAGAGAGAATTAGCTTGGCCCGAAGGCGCTGATCATGTTGGTGTTGCCTGCGCACTGGCAGAAGCATGTTTTTTGTGCTTACTGGGGCCAGGCACTGTACTGGCACCATGTCCCCACCCCCGTCCCGCGACGCAATACCACTGTAGCAACTGCTATCCATGGCCTGGTGGAGCGAACAGCTTCTGATACTGCCCACAAGGGCTCCAGCAAGTCAGTGGATTCTGCATGCCTAGATCCAGACGGTCATGTCATGGCGTTGGGTGTATCAGAAACTGGGTAACAAAGTGACCTCCCTGATCTGCAGGCCCGATGATCTCCATTGGCATGCACCGGCTCTTGAGGATTGGTACGTCGGGCATCGCTTGACCTTCACTCTCCTTTGGTTCAATATCAGATCTGCTTCCATCTTGTCGAGTGCCGTGAAACCACCCCTGTGGACACAAGCTAGCCGACAACCTGGAGGTGTAGGACTTGAAGGTGGCGGTGTTTTGACCGCCATGTGGAAACACTCAAAACGGCTCACTGGTTTCAAGGCCATCGAAGCTCTCAACTCCTTGGGAAGTGCCAATTTCAACAGCGTGTTCAAGAGCGTCTGACACTGTGAGTCCGAACAATTTTGGACATCACACCCTGTGTTTTTGAGCCAAAACCGGCCGGAAAATGCGAATTGATTCAGCTCTTGCGAGAAACACACACCGCACAATGCTTGTGCTGCGGATTGCCATGACAGTGCTGTCCGGTGTGTCAGGAATGAGGCTTACGGCCTCGCGGCTGTGCGAGCTGGCACGACAGCTACGCCCATCTCCCATGCTGCTCATGCTTGATATCCTTGCTTTCTGAGTGCACCCTGCTCATGACCTCTATCTTGTTGGCTTTTGAGCGTGCTGGTTGCTTGTGTCGGTGTGGTCTGTACTTGAAGATGCCCACTCCCGAAGTGCGGCATGGGCGAGGGCCACGAGAGGTTGTGCTGCTTGTTCATGCTGTGGTGTGATGGCTTCGCCAAGTCATTTTGCGAGCATAGCCAGCATGCCATGGATAAGTGTGCTCAAGTGACGGTGGTTACGTGGAGCTTCCACATGGCACGGCGCAGAGCACCGAGGGTGTTTTGGCTTCATTAGGCCATTCGGCTCCGCTTCTTTCGACTTTCGTGGCCCGAGAGTCCCGTGCCCAGGTCGGTTTGATATTGGCTGCATGGTCTGCTTTTTTGACAGGCCCAGCTGAGACACTGAAACTGAGAATGTGTGGCTTCAGCGAACTTCTGCAGGTTGGCTCTTTGTAGGGCCGTTCTGGAGCGGCAGAAGTGACAAGACCTCCCTCCGCGCAACCGACGAGCTGCAAGCTTAAAGTGATTCAGACCATCATGAAACTGAATAGCCTGCATGCGTTTCGTTCGTGCAAGACCGCAGGCCCTGCAGGACCTGTTTCTTCCTTACTTGTTATTCCTGCCTTCAGCACAGCTGAAGGTATCAGAAGCGGACGTTGATACTCAGCCTTGATGTCTCGGCGGTCTGAGTCTGTTTAAGTCCTAGTCGGTTAAAATTAAGTTACAACTGTTTGAGGTAGCTTGTTGGGCACTGGCACTATGGATGGAGACTCGCTCGTAGGTTGCAATCGCGGACCTGTTGAGGCGAGCGTCAGGCGCGTCTGTTGTTGCCACGTTGCAAGCGATTCCTGAGGTCCCAGATTACCAAAGTTGAGATCTGCATACACAGAGACTGCAAGCGCAGCCTGCCAGCACTCGAGCGATTTCCAGATTCGCTGCCCTCCGGCCCTGGTTCCATCCCTGGTTCCTGCAGGCAGGGGTGGCGGCGCAAAGCTGAAAGCTGTTTTCGACAAGCTTGCGGAGGGGACAGATATTGAAGCAACTCGGCGTTCAAATCGGCTTTGCCAGGAATGTGGGGGCATCGGGGCGTCAGAAGATCCGCACACTTTGCAGGTTGGGGAATATGACTGCTTTGACGAGTGCCCGTTCGGCCCGAATGTCAGGTCGGAGAGCACAGAGCATCCGAGAACCGATTTTCTCACGTTTTCAGGACACTTCGGGGACCGAGTGACCAGTTCGGACGTGTCCTGAATGGAGTCAAGGGCGAAAAGAGAGTTGCGGAGATTTTGGGCGTGGACTTGCCCCCGGGCCGCAAGCAAAACCGCAGACGGTGGAGCGGACTGGTGACCAGCATGATTTGGCAGCAACGATTGAAGTGAACGTCCCAGGCCTGACTCAGAAGAATGAGGCGGCGAAGTCGCCTTGCTCAAGACTCAAGAGAGAGCTCGCATGCCGCGTGTGAAAAGTTACCTTCTGCTCGTGTTGCTTCGTCCTGCACGTGCTGATGCGCTTTAGATGGCTTTAGCTTGCAATGTGCGAGCTGCTTCCACCATCAAGACGTAGTGAAATGTGTAATGAAGCTCTCGGGGTTCTAGGTGATTCGGGAATTGCAGCAGGGGCAGGGGGGGGGGGGCAGGACGGCAAACAAATAGGGCCTGAAACTCGGGCTTTTGTGTACAAGGATCCTCCCTTCGCTTATTTTGCGGCCTGACCGCCAATTCTGGCGTCGGTCCCCCCAGGGCTGAAACGCATCCACTCAACAAAGAAGCAGCAGATGCAAATCGCCAAGCTAGTGGCAGCTCAGCATGGAGGGAGAATAATGACACAGGCCGGCATGGGTTTGGCTCAAGCTTGCCACTGCACCACGACTTCAGCATCAAAGATGGAAGGCCTGGAAATGCCAGCTTCGATGACGTAGTTGTGGTGGTGCTTGGTTGCATCGCAGCAGCTGTTGAGGTGCATTCGTGGCGCTTGATAGTCGGCCGACACCGACTGCCAACCCTCGGCTTGGAACTCATGTCAAATCTCCTGCGATTTGTTTGGGCTGCTGGACGTTATGACACTGAGGTTACTCTCCCGAGTCGGTGGCGCAAACGAGCGGCATGCACAAAATCACAATGGAGCATGTAACGCGGAATCTTGGCATGCTTTTAAACTTTTGAACGTAGACGCGAAGAGTTCCAAGAATTGGGTGAACACTAATTCACTGCGCTGTTTGGTGCCATCACCTCACAGGCAGCCACAGCTTCCGCTACAATCGCAGCTGTATGCCTGAGTCATACACGGAGAAGGCAAGGAGTCGGGTTCCAGATTTCGTCGCAAAAGGTAGTTCTCGCTTGCGCTCGAAGGCACCAGGCGACCTTCGTGCAAGACTCAAGAGCAAGTGTCGTGCTGATGCCCTGTCAGATGGAGATGGTTTGCTGTCGACATCGCAATGATTCAGCATGTTTCACCAGTTCCTTCCGACTTAGGTTAGTAGCTTGTCCCGGCGAACGCATGCCAGGGGGCTGGCAGGTGGGCGCTGACGGATTGAGTGACCTTGAAATCTCGATAGTTCTCCGCAACGCGGTCTCAGCCGACCCGGCCTGGGAGGTCCACCCCCCTTCTCTTGGGCAAGGAGAAAAAGCGTAACTCAGATAAACAATTCGCAACACCTCCGCAAAAACACATGAGGTAGTAAGCAGGAGGTCGTGAGTAGTTGGAAGTAGCAAGTAGAAAGGGACACGGGGGATGTGGTGGAGGCACGTCGGGGGGGTGGTTCACCCCCAGCTTGAAGGTGGCACGTGCGCGCAAAATTGGGAACTCTCAATCTCCATGTCATGTGCTCCTTTTTGCTTTCAGGCCGAGCTTGCAAGTTGCAGTGTCGAGGGCTTCAAACAGGCAGGCTGACGGCTTCCGTTGTGGAGTGGCAAATCCTGGTTGTGCCAAGGCATTGTGGGTTTGCCCAATGTTGGCAAAAGCACACTCTTCAATGCTCTTTGCGACACTGGCGAGGCACATGTCAAATGTAAAAGCCCTTACAGCCTGCCCCGGTGTTCGTCGTGTTTGCACAGGCAGAAGCAGGCAACTTTCCATTCTGCACCATTGACCCCAACATGGGCAAGGCCAAGGCGTGGCATGGCCATGCGCGACGGCAATCCAGACTTTTGCAGTGCATCACGACGACCGTAAGGTCGTAAGTATTCTCCCAGGTCTCCCAAAAATTCGCTGCACCGCAACAGCTGTTTGGGCTTTCACTAATTAGGGCTGTTTTTCTCCTCCCACAGTAGCTGGCCTCAGCTCAGCCACGAGCTCGGAAAGTTGTTTTGGCTGCAGGCGGTCGGCCTTTGCAATGTGAGTTCAAGATCAGGACCTGAAGAGCTGGCATCAAGCAGAATCTTCACGGCATCATGGGGTGTGTGCTGCACTCATGGACAGCCTGAAATCTGAAGCGCTGGGCACGTTGCAACAGTCAGGTGGCAAGCACGGTGGAGACCAGTGAGCCGGCTGGCTCAGCCATCGTTCTTTGAGCTGTCTTTGACACCGGAAGCCGCCACCAAGGCCAGAGAGCTCACCAAAGAATGCCAGAGGAAGCCAAACAGCCCCGAACCCTGGTAGGACATTTGGGGTTTCGCGCTCTTCGAGTGCCGTGTGCGATCACCATTCCGATAGGGCCTGCATAATAGCATCGCTTCTTCAGGACGTTGCTGACAAGTTCTGCGAATTCCCCAAAGGACGCTGAGGTGGGAGCAGAGGCAAAAGAGCTCGGGAGAGCCAACTCGTGCGAGGCAGAGCAGACGGCTTCGCCGACAGGGCTGAGGCAAAGTGGTAGAGCTAGCTCGACTCAAAATTTTGGAAATGAGAAGAGAGCAGGAACTCGAGACCTGGTGGCTTCATGCTCAACGAGGCCTGGTAGTTCTGGAATTTACAGCATGAGAGAGACGTGCTTTTGGTCCTAAGATGTGCTAAGCTTGTCGCATCTTAGACGTGCGTCGTTCTGTTTTCAGGAGGTCACCTCACCTGTCTCGCCGGGAAAATCCATCTTGAGAAGCAAGAGTCTGCAGGGACTCGGTCACAAGGATCCTGCGATCCCATGGGTAGTTCCTGACGAGGGCAAACTGAGAACGCAGTGAGGAAACCGGCCGCCGAGCTACGTTTGATGCAGTATCCTTGCAAGAGGAGGACTGCATCACAAGCATTGTGCATGGCGGAGGGGACCGTGTGGAGTGAATGCAGGAACTTGCACATTGCCGAAGTGGGGTTCTGAGTTGGATCTCAGCAGAGTCAAGGCTGGCTTGAATGGCAGCGGCATCTTATGCGAGGTGTAAAGCGACGGGTAACTCTCGGGCAAGCTGAAGTTCGCGAATACCGGGTACAGGCGATGCTGCAGCTGTCGGAAAGCTACGAAAGTTCGTTCTGCATGGATGTGTATCAACAGAACACCTGACATTGCCGCAGATGACTCAATCACGGAGTTTCTGATGGCTTGCCGCTTGCTCCACAGCAACGGCAAGCAAGTCCCTGAGCTTCACCTCTTTAGTAGACGGTAGTTTCCTGTAGCTGCAGGATGACACTTGCTGTGAGCGTTGTAGACGCGAACACCGCACCAGCCGGAAACACAGGAACGATGAGTCTTGTTGCGTTACAATTACAAGCTTGCCATACAAGGTAAAAACAAGTTGTGCCCAAGCTCAAGATGCTGAAAGCTTTCTCAAGCTTGAATGTCTAGGTAGTGAAGGCAATCGCGGCCAGTTTGAGCTGGTTCCCTTGCGGAGTCCTTGCAGCTGTCACATTGCTAAGCAATTGGACATGTTGCAGCCACTATCTTTGGAATACTCATCATTGGCAGATGTTCTAAGACCTGTGAAGTGTTGGTAGTCCCTAGTACCCCTGCACAAGACGACATGCCAATGATGGCTCGATCTCGCGGCATGCACCGCAGAGTCGCTGCAGTTTGTCGTGCGTGCCTTCAAATGCTTCAGACATGTACTCGTAGCACCGGATGTGACATGTCGCCGCTACCAGCGCATTGGCAGATATTGGCAGGCCTCGCACGCACGTGTCTCCGAAAGTCCTTTCGCAGACCCTCATCACGCGGCAGGAAAATCAGTGTGTTGAGTATTGAGGCTATCATACAAGCACCACATTCGCGGCTTGCAGTGCTGACGGTGACACAGTGACGCAGCACTTGCAATATGTGTCGCTATGAGTCAACCAAAATCCTACTAGGTGCCAGATGATCGGCTGGACAAGCTGGCCTCTTTGGCTAACTCCGAAAAAGTTATCAACGAGGTCAGTTCATTCTGACCAGACGTCCTTGCAATGCTATACTATACTGTGGCACAGATGATTGAGTACGTCGACATCGCGGGACTTGTAAGGCATGGCATTGATTGGGCATAGCGTCGCATACATGTGGATCCTGTGCTGTCGCTGCGCAGGGGTGCCTCGAAAGGAGAGGGCCTGGGCAACCAGTTCCTGGGAAACATCCGCAATACAGGCATCGTTTGCAAGTCCAAGTCGCTATCGCGTTGAGGCTAGGATCGCTTCAATGAACATGGATGCAGATGCAATCGTTCACGTCATTCGATGCTTCGATGATGAGAATGCTAGAAGCTCGGTGTCGAACCCACCTTTGATTCTTTGTTTGCGTGTACTTCTCGCACAAGCACCTTGGCACAGGTTACACATGTGGATGGTAGCGTCGACCCTGTGCGAGCAACTTGTCAAGACAAACGCTGAGTATCGCCATAACATCCAAGAGCAGATGCTGCACATGGTGACTGAACTCTCATCCGACATCAGGACATAGAAACTATCAGCCTGGAGCTGGTTTTTGCAGATGCCGATCAGGTGCACCTGGCAAATTGCAGTTCGTCACGTGTCTTCTTTGAAGTTTGTCATCGTGGGTAAGCCTGGCCAGTGCGAGAAGCGTCTGAAGAAGGTGGAGCGGGAGGTGGTTGGACAGGCTCTCTGCAAGCAGAGTGCCGGAACCTCGCAGCGAGAGCTTGAAACCAAAAGCAGGTCAAAGGTGCTAAGGAAGAAAAGGAGGAGCTCGGTGCAGGGTGTACGCATATCATCTCGGACCCGAAGAATTCGTACTGCGAGGCTTTGCAGAAAGTCCTCAAGGTGCTTGAGGCGGGGCGACGACGGCTGCGACTATGAATGCCCTTTGCAGAACGGAAAGCTTAGATGAGATGAGCATGAGAGATCATGAGAGGAGGGCAAGCCGGCTCGTGCCGCAAAGCTCTCGGAGAAGGAAGAGCTGGCCCTCCAGGCAAGGAACAACAACAACAACAAGTTTGCTTCTGTTCTTGACCGAAAGTCTCCTGCTGAGCGCTCTTGCTCTTCTGCGCAGGATTTGTCCTTGCTTTCCATGAAGCCGGTGATCTACGCGGCCAACGTCTCCGAGGCGAGAACAGCGAGCCGAGTAGAGGGCGAACTTTGCCTCTTTTTACTCTCTGTCTCTGTCCAGGAGGAGTTGGCAGCAGGCAACGAGTACGTGAAGGCCCTGACCCTTAAGCACCGTGGGCGCCTTGCGCTTCTCCCTTCTCACCCCGTTCAGGCAGTACAGGATTTTGCGAAAGAGACCGGCGATCAAGTGGTGGTTGTGTCAGCTCAGGTTGAGGCCTTTGGCCTCGCACCTTCGTTTAATTCTGAAGCCGCGGGTCACTGCGCGTTCGTGTGCAGCGATCCTGTTGCAGGCTGAATTGAAGTCTCTGGATGCAGAGGAGGTGCAAGATTATTTGGAGTCATTGGGAGTCAAGGACAGCACTGTCAGTACGCTTGGGAGAGATGCAACTGCATCGTGACGGGCGGTTCGGAGTGAGCAGGAGAGTGGCTGTGGCAGCTTGGTTCAGGCAACGTACAGGCGAAATATAGCATGGCTTGAAGTCAATGTGCATGCAACAGTGTTATGTCATGATTCATTATTATGCTTGTGCCAGGACGCTCGGCCTCCGTACTTATTTCACTTGTGGCCCAAAGGAGCACAGCATTTGCAGCTTTTGCAGAGCTGCTGTGCAGCAACATCGGCCTGGAGGAGACACGGGCATGGACCATCCATGCTGGCTGGAAAGCTCCAAAGGTGACCCTTTATTGCTCACGTGTTTGCGGCATCGTCGTTTGCTTCGCCAGGCTGCTGGTGTCATCCACACAGATTTCGAGAAGGGCTTCATCAAGGCAGAGAAGTTTGCCAACAGGGTCACGTGGGAATAGTGGGATGGTGGTCTGTCGTGGCGAGGCAGCGACTGTCAGTTATGACGACTTCGTAGAATGCGGCTCAGAGGAGGACACCACTGCACTAACTCACTAACAGGACTGTAATGCAGCGGCATGCAAGCCACGCGAGGCCGCAAAAGACAAGGGCAAACTTCGCATTGAAGGAAAAGAGTACGAGGTGAGCTGCGGGTTGCAAGTGTCATGAAGTCAGTTTGAGCCTGCGACAGTCGGGTTCAGGTACAGGAAGCTGACGTGATGCACTTCCGTTTCAATTGAGCAGGGTCTCATTTTTCAGTTCATTATCAAATTTTCGAGGTCCGCAGTGATCCTGCAGTGATCCCGTTCTCTTGCATGGGCTTTCGCGCTCATAGGCCGACCAGGCCGCTCGCCATCCCGCTTAGCGGGAAAGTGGCTTTGGAGTTCGAAAAGGTTCAGTCGCTTGCACACTTTAGTTACTATAGTTTTTGCATTTTGGAACCTAGCAGCTGTTCATGTTTGTATTTGGCTGACAGCATTCGGGCACCACCAAGGCAAGCAAGCTAGTCCTCAGAGATCAACTGCAATCGACGCGCCAATAGGGACTGGGTGTGAAGTTGCAATGGTTGCAGTAGCACAGAACCTCATTGAAGCATTCCTGAGCTGACCCAGACGATCCCAGACACCATGCAAGCTCTGAGTCTCAAGAGCCCCATGAGTCATGCCAATGGCCACGGCGATGAAGTTGCGATCAAGCTTACTGGATCCTGCCGTGATCTTCAGTGGAACCTTTGCTGGAACTGGACGGCTTGAAAGGGAGCAGTCTTTGCCGAGGCTCCTGGTGATTGGAGCGAAGGTGGGAGAATGTGGAAGCGGTGCCTTCTGCTGCCTCCTGCTTCTCGGGAGGAGGTGATGTGGCAGACTGCCCAGGACACTCTGCATCTCAAGTTCGCCGTCGTCAAGTGTTTTTCCCTTGAGGACTGCTGACAAAGTCCTTGCTCCCCGTACCAACAGGCATCCTGGAGTGTTATGCATTGCAGAAAAGTCAGGTTAGTTCACGCAAACCGAAGCGGCGAAGTTTGCACAGCCCGATGTCTTTGAAAACAAGCATGTAGTGTGACGGAAATGAATCTGGCAGATTTGATGCATGTGGCATGACATGGCTAGGTCTCAGCGCGGCTGAGCTCTGTTGTTTTTGCTTCCAGGCTCAGAGTTCATGTTGTTGCTTGCTGCGCCGACCTGCTTACAGTCTGCAGGTGCTACGTGCGCACTTGGAGAGTCGCACTCTGAGTCTCTTGGTTCTAGCAGTTGGATAGAAGTGGACTGCACCCAGGCTTGCCTCTTCCTAGCTTTCCACCTCTTGCGGATCCCGGGTTCAAGGCTTGTTAAATGTGTTCATTTGTCTTCGTGTGCCTGGTCTTGCGGGAGGCTCCATTGTTCGTAACGTGGCTGAAGCAACGCAATAATGCCAGGACGGCGCGCTCCTCGGTCAGCTCCATGTGCAAGCAGACACGACAGATGCTTGCACATGTTAGGGCTTGCATGACTCCGAGCTGGAGCTGCGCGGTTGCATCGGATGCCTAGAGGTGAGGTGTGAGCTTGGGAACACTCTGTGGGTCTGGTGGGTTTAGGGAAGTGTGTTTCGACTGTTTCGATGCATTGTCAGCCAATCCACTTCCACAGCGGCCTCTCTGAGTATGCCATACGAAGTTCCATGAAGGACTCTGCACAACTTCAAGACCACTGCCATAATTCGCTGCCTGCCCATGTACACAAGTCATCGAAGGACCGACGGTTCCCGCCTGTCAAGCTAGACGAGGCAGGATTGAGATTCATGCAGCCGGCAGCAAGTTTCCGGAGAGTGTCACTCAGCTTCAAGCTTCAAGCCTGGGCCGCATGCCTGGTTCTACTGATGAGACATCGAGAGACGAGTCAGACCGACGGATCATACCCACTTGGGCTCAAAGGACCACACACTGGAGGGGCGGAGGGGGGAAACGGAAAGGCGGGGGGAAGGGGGGGTCACAGAGTCCTGCGCTGCCTTGTCCTTCTTCTTGTTATTGTTATCGTTCCTGTTCTTGTTGTTCTTGTTCGCGTTCCTGTTCGCGTTCTTGTTCTTGTTGTTCTTCTTGTTCTTCTTCGTATTCTTCTTCTTCTTGTTGCTGTTGCTG